GCAAGTTTGAAAATACATAATTTGTGTAGGAAGTCTGCACATATCCAGTTGCAGTTGGTTGTCATCATTACACTTCTGAAAATTACCAATGATTTTTTTGGAAGAAGAGGTGGTTGGGGATTTTTTTTTCCCCCTCCATTTCTTCTCTCCTCCCCCCCCCCCCCCCCCCCATTTTATTTTGGCCTGTGGAAATCTGACTTGAAATAATCATCAGATAATACTGACAGAACAATCAATTTGGTTCTTAGAGACATAATTGTGAAAAAAACCCTTTTACTTTTCAAAATAGGTGCTGTACACTGCAGGGATGCTTGGTACCTCCTTCTACAGATGCCCACGATCTTTAAAAGAAGCATTTAGGTCTTGAGGTTATTTAAAGATTCCCAATTTTTTTTTTGTCTTTTAGACTTTATTTAGCTATGCAAGATATCACCATATTCAGTATTTTTTATAATAAACATGTCTAGTCAAAGAAAGCATTAATGAAGCAATTCCCCAAATAAAACAGCCCATCATATCTGAGTTGCAGCAGAGAGAAAGTGTGGTCTTTGTAGTTTAATCAAGATCACAAGACTTGTTTTGAGCGTCTGTCATCTTTAATTTTACGGCACTTCATTTCAGAGTGGGACTGCCAGGGTCACATGCAATTAAAACACAGGCAAGATTTGTCTTGTGAAATCTTAACATAAAAAGTAATGTGTTACTCTATTTTAACTTTTCTACTGAACTCTGTGAACTCACTAATTACTTTTCCCCCTCTTGTCACCTTTTTGATATGACATGTATTTTATAAAGGAGATAGAAGTTTGGGATTTTTTTTTTCTATCATGCATATGATTGAGGATAACAAAATTAAACCGGAGAAAAAAGGAAATGTATTTTTCAGAAATACATTTTTAGAAATATCTGAGCATTACTGCTTCAATTACAAAGGGACTGGAGGATCAAATTCGAGGAAATAACTATTAATCTGCTTAACTAGGGCAGGTAGAAGCATAATAGCAGACCAGGGATTTTAGTGAGGCCAATCACACAGACTGGAGTTTATTCTCTTGAGAGGGGTGACAGGGAAAGGGTAAAGGGACTTTAATGTGGTGGGCCCTGAGAAGCACGAAAAGCTGGTATCTGTGTAGCTTCTTTATAGCTTTAGCCCAGTTGTTGCATCGTAGTGATCAGTAAATTGCATGGACCCTTATTAACCTTATTGATAAGGAGCTTAGGGAAGTCCCATTCACTCCAGAATATATTCTTCTTTTTGTTCTCCTGTCTGCTCGGTTTGCAATCCCAGTCTCTTTGTACAGAAATCCTTTATGTTGCACCTCAAAATTCTGTGCAAGTACTCTGCTCATTTAACTTGGAGCAAGGGAACTGTAGAACAGAAAGGGTTGGAGAACGCATGGGGCCACAGGCCCATTTAAATATAGCTGGGACACCTGGAGAATGTTTGAAAAATTTCTTTTAAAGAATCTTTTATATTGTTCTTCTTTCAGTGCAGCTGGGGTCTGTGGGGATCAGGGGATTATTTTTGATACCTGTCTAAAAGAGTTATGTCTACACTGATTTCCATCCCTTGCTACTAATTAACCTTATTGTATACAGGAAACAGTCTATTTAATACCTGCATTCTTTCTGTAATGCCAAGTAAAATGAAATCTAGTGTGAAATCTAGTTAGCATTTGCCTTTTTGAAGTCATTTTTGAGTTTCCAGTCCGGGTGACTGTGACCTCAAAACTGAAAGCTATAAAAATGGTCCCGATTTCGGCTCAATGGGAGATTCTTGGAGATTCCCTGTTCACCTGGACTTGCACGTGTAGTAAATTGCCCATCTCGGTGCTTAACAGTGTTTTCTCAGGAACCATCTATTTCTGGGTCACTCATAGCCCTGCAAAGCACATATGTTCCTCCTAAAGGAAAGGAGTCTCCTCCTTTCTGCTGGAAAGATCACACTTCGACTGTTTCAGTGTATAGAGACTTATAAAAAATTTAAATAGCAATGGTAAAAACAGATACATTGAGGAGAACAAGGAATGATGATTTAAAAATGTCTCCAGCAACCACAGAGGATGGTGAGGGGTAGCTGAGAAGAACTTAAGCTGTAAAATAGAGGGCAAAAATATGGATGATGTACCATATTTTAAAGGCTCTTTAAAGCCTGCTGAAAAACATTGATTTTGATTGCGTCTGCTCCAACATGCAGATAGAGGAGTTGTTACTGTACAGCATGGTTTCTGAAAGGAATGTTCACTAAAATGGATTTTCTCATGTGTTTGATGAGGAGGTGACATCCCAGGATGTCACAAAGTTGAGCCTGTGGCCTTGCTTTCTCTGCAGGTCTCCAACTGCACCCCCGATGAAGTGGGGACCAAAAGCGGGGGTGGATTTTACAGAAGCTTGGTTCAGTTCCTAAAAGAGAACTCGGGTCAGGTTGCTGGGTCACTCTCTTGAGGACAGGCCAGCTGCATGAGCTCGGGAGTCTTTAACAACAAAATTCTGAAGAAAGGTACATAATTTAGTACTAAATTTCATTCCTTTAGTACCAAATGATGATATCAAGAACAAAGCTAATCAAAACAAAGGACAACAAGAAAAAAAACCCATCTTTTTAATACTGACTGTGCACCACCACTGACAGCATAGGTATTAAACAAAGGTTGGAAGTGTTCCTTTGATTTATTTATTAGTGTTAAAGCTCAGTGGAAGCACCAAAAGAATAGGACATTGATATCATTAGTTATAATCTATTTGGGAAGAAGGAGAAACATTGTTTTCATTCCTGCTGAGAATTTTCAGGTAGCTTGGCTATTGGAAATGTGGCTTGATGGCAGAAATATAGGCTTATGGGCTTGAAGTACTGGGTGTACATGGGTGTCCATCCCTATGGCCAAATGGCCACAGTGGGGATTCAAGATTCAGTTTAAGGACTCTGAAAGGTCCCCCTGGATCCCTCTGTAAAACTATTCTTCAAGGAACAGGAGAAAATTTCTTTCATTTGCTGTTTTCCTTCCATTTCCTGTATTTTACACTTATTTTGGTCAATAAAGCAATGTTCATTTATGCTTTACATCATTCTCCAGAAAACACATTTCTTGCAGTGCAGCCTTTCCAAAAACAACAGAAATAATCTGACTTAACTATAAAAGATTTTATTATTAGTTTTTTTTTCTTCTGCCTTTCCTACTAAGCTCCTCTGCAAAACAGCTAGAAATTTTCATTTTCAAAACATTAGTACAGCAAATTGCCATCTTTCTGTGCATGGCATTCTCTATGTACTCATCATCTGAATGATTCCAGATCACTCTCCGGCAGCGTGAATCACAGCATGCCCTCATGCCTGCCTCTTTTTCAATTATATCTAAGAGGAAGACTGCTGGAGACCCATTTTTTCATCTTGCACAGGACCCCAAAAGTGCCAGATCTCATTTCAATATAATATTATGACAGTATGATAAAATGGATGTTAACAGGACACTGACTAATATGATCCGTAGAGAAATGATAGAACAATACAATGTCGGACAGATTGTATTCCTAATGTGCATTTTATGGACACAAAATTCCCTCTGTAAACAGGGTTCTAAGATTTAATCCTTATATCCTATGATCCTACTTAGTGTTTAAGACATTCTGCAGCTCTAGTGAAATTTTCACGTTCTTAAATGAAATATATATTTTTATTTTAGCACGGAGCTGCCTATATCACTCCCAATTTACTAATGAAACTTGGCATTCAAATGACTCATCAGCACGTACTGCAAGGCATAAAAATAGATTAATGTGGCATACGTTTCTTTACCCATAAAAACGCACCTTCATATAATCTCGGCGCTGTCTTATTCAACAGAAAGTATGTCATTTCCTTCCCCTAGCAGGTCGAATTAAAAATGAGCTAAATGTGTGAGAAAGCCATTACTGCACTAATGAAAAGCTCGATACCGTTTGAATTTTTCATCATGGGATATTTGTTCTGTAGCACAGAGCACTAATATTTACTGTCACCGGTACAGTGTGCGTGGTAATTAACTTACAGTCATCAACGCGGTGGATGTTAAGCAAAGACGTTCCTGTGCGAGCTCGGATCTCTTTTACAACTCTTTCATAGAATCAGAGTGGTTTGGGTTGGAAAGGACCTTAAAGCTCATCCAGTGCCATGGGCAGGGACACCTTCCACTATCCCAGGTTGCTTCAAGCCCTGTCCAATGTGACTTTGGACACTTCCGGGGATGGGACAGCCACAGCTTCTCTGGGCAACCTGTGCCAGGGCCTCACCACCCTCACAGTCAAGAATTTCTTCCTAATATCCAGCCTGACATGAGACAGCCCTTCAAGACTTTGTAGTTTAGCTTGAAGTGGAGAGAAAAAGGGTTAAAAGGACTTTGACATCTCATATAAGCTCTGAATCTGCCTCTCTATGTGCTACTACAACCAGAAGGATAATAAAAGCCACCTCAGGGCCTTACTGGCTAACCAGTGACTGTAGAAGGGACATCAGTACCACAGTGGCTGCTTTTATTCTAGAAGATGGGCTGAAGTTGCAAAATGATGCACCAGCCCAAATCATTATCCTCATTCAGAACATGGACACTGATCTCACCTGCTTCATGTGTGATGGCAGGATGGTGCTGAGGGTGCTCTTGTTTGTTCCCAGAGTGGCTGGCTACATCCCTCTCTTTCTCACCTCTTCCCTTATTAATAACTTCAGAAGGATATGATGTGAAACTAATAAAATAAACTTCGGAACAGATGGAATTCTGGCTCTGGTAACATATTCTCCTCCGTTGTCCACGCAGGAGATGTGCTCATGTGAAGTATGATCTTCAGGGGCAGGACTAGCTTTTTCATCAAACTCCAGTCTAAGGTTTTCGGGAGACTTCTTTCCATAAGCACAGTGTCTTTGGAGGGCAGCAGAAAATCTGGAATGTGCCAAATTTCCCAAGTGGTCCAACTTTTTCTTGCCAAACTGCCTATCCATTTTGACAGTGTCCTCCCCTTCTCCTTTTCCTCCCACCACATGGTGACACTGGCCACATCTGGGCCCATTTTTGACACAACCTGGCCACGGGTTCCTGGAAATAATTGTCAGACACATCTGTTACTGTGCACGTGTACCTGTGTTTTCACAGCAATGGCTGGTATAAGTTTAAATAAGTAAATCAGAGACATGTTCAGAGCTGTGTAAACCTCAGGAACCTCTGGCACGTTTATGATCAGATGAACTTCTGACAAATCCCACAACTTCGTCACCATTAGGTGGGCACAAAAAGCCCCGAGACCTGACTGTGAGGCGTCTGTCACCTCCACTTCTGGAGTCAGCAAGTCCAAAAGGAACAGTTTCCAACAGCAGAGTGATTTGCTTCCCCACCACATTATGCTTGGCAAGTGGCCTGAGACAGATGTACACTTGCTTCTTAATTAGAGAGCTTTTTCCCATCTATCCAGTGAGTTATCCTGGCCTCTTTCACAGCAGTGTCCATAGAAAAGGCAAGAAGCCTGACTTGTGACCCCTGTAGAGTGCAGAGTGCACTTGAATTAAGGCAGAAAAAGGCCTCCCAACCTGATATGCAAGTGATGGATTCCTTCTGCACTTGGGCACCTTTGGGGGCAAACGTTCCAATTCTTTTATGAATGGATCCCCAACTGTACAGATAAGAAAAGGATTAAAAAAAATCTAATGTCTGACTGCGTAGAAACTATTTGGGATATGAAGCAATTAAAGTCTTATGTGAGTAAATAGGAATTTCTGCATCCTGGAAAGGTTTCTTAGTGCCTGAGCTGAGCCTGCAGACCCTTCGGCCATGGATCTCAAGGTTCACCTCTCTTCACTACTTGTTCTAAAATGTTTTCCTAGCAAGTGTCTGCTGTCAATCTTAGGGATAAATGACGTTGCTTCTAAGGTGGAGCCTTTGTATTTCTTTGCAAGTGTCAAGGTCAGAGGCTTTTCTAGCAGCATCTGTTTTTCACAGCAAAGACTCTATTTATACAGGTAAGTTACCAGAAAACAAGATGTGTGTTATAATAGCATGGGTCACATATATTAGCAGAAAATGGAATAGGAAAATTACTTTAGGCTCTTTCTACCTTCACTGAATAGAATCATAGAATGGTTTGCGTTGGAAAGGATCTTAAAGATCATGTAGTTCCAACACCCCATGCCACAGTGCATCCCATGTATCTGTTCCCCCCTCCCATGTTTGCCTGGCTTTTTCAAAGCCATTTGGGAAGAAAAACTAGTTTACTGAAGGCCTATACTCTAGGAACAGCATTCCCAAAGACCTTCAGATTGTCTGAAATACAGACTTTGGGGGGCGGGGGGGGGAATTATACCATAGGAAAGAGAGTAAATATTACGATTCCCTGGACATATTCACTTGGTATGGGCCAGACCAGAGGGTCTGGAAACACGCTCAGACTGAAGGTACCTAGAGGAGCAAAGACACATCTCTCTCCTTTTTCAATTGCTGAGACTCCTGCTTGACAGAAGAACACTGATTTAAATTAGGAAAAACTTTGCTTTGGTTGAGCTGCTCTGTTTCTTCCAGAACGTGAAAAAAGTGGCCATGTCCTCCCTCTCATTCTTTCTTACACCTTGTCCACCCAATCCTTCCACCCAATCTCAGACAATCAGTAAATTGTAAATACCCCATCTTTTCCATCAATGTTTGTGCTGAGTCTGCCTTAAGCCACTTAAAAGATCCACCTTTTTAATCTGTCAGCTTGAGCTGATATGCTTCATGATGGACTCCTGAAAAACAGGGGGTCTTTGTCCCCATGCCAGGGGTGTCCTGATGGTAGAAAAGCACCTGGGGCAGGAGAACAGAGACCCAGAAAATGCACCAGGTCTCAATTCATCCTCGTGTGTTTCGGGGAGGATGTTGAATTGCCCGGTTAAGGAAATGTTTCAATTTTCCAACCCATTCCTTTTTTTTTCCCTCCTCCCTTTGTTTTGGGAAATGAGAAAAATATATAAAAGCAAGTTATTAATAAAACATCTATTATGCCCATGGGACAGAGGTCCTTCCGTATTGTTCAGATGGCATGTTTATTGTTGACATCTCTCTTTTCTCTGAGTATGCACAGAACCCTGAAATCCTTTTACATTTTTAATAAGATTATTTCTTTTTTTCAATCTAGTGCAAGAAAACCACATCTGCAATATGCATAATACTCTCAAAAACTGCAGCATCAGAGGGAAAGCACTGCCAATGTTTTTGGCTATCTGCACTTCAAAGGGACATGACGTGAAAAAGAATAGTACTAGAGGTCTCGGGAAGGTGCTTGTGTTTTGCATCTCAGGGCGTGTTTGTTTAAGGTAGCTGCTTTGTTTTTGAGTTCTCACATTTGAAGTGAAGCACATCATAAGCACAAAAGAAAACTCGATTTGTTTTACAACCAACAGCGCTCCGTAAACCTGGAATAACCAATATTATTGTGTTGTTTTTGCCTGAACTCGGGTGTCTTACGGAACAAGGGGATTGTCAGCTCTACGTTCCTGCAGCACCGTGT